AGGCTGGCCTTGAACTCACAGGGATCCACCTGCCTCTGCCTCCAGACTGCTGGGATTAAAGGTGTGTGCCACCATGCCCGGCTTAAATAAAAGATTTTTAAGGAAAAAGATGACAATTCTACAAGCTAAAATTTCTTTTTCTGTATAGTTAAGCATTTTAAAAATCTGGAGTCCAGACAAAAATGTGCAGACTAAGTAAACCACAGTGTTGATTTAAGTGGATATTTAGAGTTTCATTGAATTTTATGCATAATAATAAAGCCGTAGAAGTTCATTATAGAAGGCATTTTTTATTATTTTCTCTTAGTAGTTTATCCTACAATCCTTTCAAGTAACTAAATTCTCCAAACCGCTTTGCAAAAGAAAACCAATCAGAGTAAACCATATGTGCTTTTGAGCTGGTGAACTTCATTGTCAATAAATCATTTATTTAGGGGACCTCTGATGTTTGTTCTAATTTTCATAATTTTACAATACCATTATCTTTAGGGTGTATGGGTATTGAGTTAGAAGAGCAAGCACCTAGATATAAAAATTGCAGTCTCCTTTTTATTGACTTCAATATAGTTGTCTATTCAACTCATAAAATCCTACGTTCTAAGTAGCTGAAATGGTGCATTTCTCAGGGATATGATCTTGCCACACTCGAGTGTTCATTAACATTATTACAAACACATTAAAATTTTTATTGTAGGTGTGGTTACCTCACAATACAGAGAACAAAAACGGTAAATTTTATTGTTTTTTCCTTTTGAGTTATTCATTCTAAAAATGTATTCCAACGAGTTTATAAGATCAAAAGTCACTTATTACTGCAAGAAACTGTGGCTGTTTGATGGAATTGCTATTAAGCTAAGTCATTACCATTGCTTGTCTGGCTGTTTTTCAATATGCACATGGTCTTCCACTCATGAGATGAAAGGACATTCCTGCTTTCTCAGTATTTGTCATTTCATTCCTACAATTTGAATAGAACTAGCAAGTTGCATGTTTCAATTTCTCTTTGTATTAATTTTGAGGGCAAATTGCAAACATCTTTACTTACCTTTTATAACTCAGAATTTTTTTAAAATTGTTTTTATTGAATTTATTGTGTATTTTGTACAGAACATCTCAGATATTAAAGCAGAGAAATTAGGCCCGTGAGGTACTGTATTTTGAGATGACAGGAATTGGCAATTAATAGATAGGGTGTGATAGTGACAGTTTTTTTCAAGAGTAGGAAAAATTAGCCACAGAAAACAAGAGATGCCAGAGACACACAAGCCTGGGACATTTAGTGTCATCCCAGTGATATCTTTATATACCAAATATATGTGTATCTATGCATTATGTATTTACAAATTCACAAATAAGCTATATTCAACTTATTTACTACTCGAACATGAACTCAAATTTCTGCTGCAAATTCCTATTCTCAGTTTTTCACTGATGAATACTATAACAGAAATATTTCTAAATACCTCTCAATAAATTATTGCAGTTCTAAAAATTGGAATTATATCTCTATTTCCTGAAGTAATTGTGTTGTGAGATTAATATGTCTGAGGTTCTTTCACTATAGGCTATTAATTTGCTAAAGCCATTTCATTCATTTGAATTTTTTGTTTCTTTTTGTATTGGATCTAAATACTTCATTTTGCATTTCCTATCATTTTTCTATATTGGCATCTCTGTTGAAAACATTTTTCTACTTAGGTGTCTTTGTTCCTGATGCAGCTGGGTTCATGACAGCTGTACTTTCTACTACGGCCACTTTACCAGAACAAGAATTTTTCTATTCCTGTGCCATTATGAAAGGGAACTTGAAAATTTCTCTACCTAAAACTAGGGTTGTGTGTGAATTTTGGAACTCTGAAATCTTATACCTTCCCAAGTCCCTAGCTCAGAAGTGAGGTAAAAGCACAGCACCTGTCAAACATTTGTACCCAGTTATGTCTCTCGGTGCAATGCAAGTTCATTTACTGGAGTCTAGTCAGTCTATCTAGAGTCTATCCCTTAAAGATGATCTACTCTCCCCACCCCACAGTAATCACTTGCCAATAGTTCCTTTACTAGGGTTGGGGCCTGCTACCCATTTCCTCAGTTCTATGATGGATTTTTGTTTGATTGAGCCAGCTTGAGTCTTGTGCACACTGTCACCATTGTGGCAAGTTCATGAGCAGGTTCCCAGAGCCCTGAAAGCCTCTGTTTTCTTATGTTCTTGCACCAACCCTGGCTCTTACAATCATTCTGCTCTTTCTTCTGCAAAGGTCCCTGAGACTTGGGTGGGTGAGGTTTAGTATAGGCATCCTGTCCAGGGACATGCACTCCACAGTCTCTCATTCTCTAAAAATTAGCCAGTCATGGCCTTCTGTGTTCATCCACCTTGGTTGTATAAGGA